GCCTCCTACTTCAGCAAGAAAGGAGCCAAGAGCTATAAATTCCTTAATATCCTTCCAACGCCACATTTACTCTCTCTCTCCTCTACCTCAGGAAGAGGTGTCTCAACTCTTCCTTACTTCATTTTTTTCTTTTATAAAAATTAATTTATTTTCTTAATCCTCACCCAAAGATACACTTATTGATTTGAGAGAGAGAGAAAGAGAAGCATCAACGTGTTGCCACCCATACTGCCCCGTGCCCCCACCGGGGATCAAAAACACCACTGTTTGGTGTATGGGACGATGCTCCAACCAACTGTGCCACCTAGCCAGGGCTCTTCCTCACTTCTTCATTTCCCTCTCCCCAAACCCTACTCCATCCTTTAGCATCTTTTTCCCTAATCTACTAGGTTACTCTCCTCTGCTTCCAAACACACGCAACCCCCTAATCCTAAAAATTCTTCCTTCAATTCTGCTTCCCAGTCAAGTGACCACCATTTACTAACAAGTGTCTGGAATTACAATCTATACCACCTTCTGATCCAAACCTTCATGTATTACTTTAATACTATTTTTAAACTCCCACTGTGAAAATCAACAATATCTTCTTACTGCCAAATCCAACCATTTCTTTTCAATTCGTATAACACTTACTGACATAAATAGGTGTGTCCCTGCTTGGGCTGCACTGCAGGACTCCCCTAACGTCCCTACCACCTTTCTGAGTGCTCTCTCTCAATGACTGCTTTTGGATCCTCATTTGCTGCCACCTATTCTAGACTCTCAAAGACTGTCCCTGGCAAGTTACCCAGTTTGGTAGTTCAGTTATGTTTGTATTTGATGACTCTCTCAAATCACTCTCTCCAGACTCATCTCCCTCCAAAGTGTCACATCTAGTGTTTTGTTCCTGCAGACGACAAAAGCTGGATGCCACAAGAACTCTAAAATTTGACATCAAAAAACCAAAACATGAACAGGAAATCACAAACTTCTCTAATCAATTCCATACATTGCATCCAGAGCTTGGCAAATGTCTAACCACCATGACTAACCGGCTTCCAGCAAAAGTGAAATAAAGGCAAAATGTAAACCCTTCCCAAGTCTTTGTATTTCACATTTTTTAAGCTCCTCTATTAACCAATCGCTAGCTCTTTTGGCACAAAGCTAAGCCATATCATCCCATTAAAAAAAAAAAAAAAACTGTTCCTCTTCATTTTTATTCCTATGAAACCTTTATTCCTATGAAATATTAAAACCTCAGAATCACCTTCTATTTCTCCTATATTCCTAGCTTCCAAAGATATATACCTTTGATAATATCTTTAAAAATCTACACAATTTATTTTGAAATGCATCAAAGAATAAGATGCGATAAAACAAATATAGTAAGTGATAATTATACAAAATCTAAGTGGTAGATATATTCACTGTATAATTCTTTCAACTTTTCTGTATGTTTGAAAATTATTACAATAAAATATTGGGGGAAAACCTTATCATATTCTGACATTGTTCAAATATATGTCCTTTTACCTCTCTTATGAACTACTTTAGGAGCCTAACTGAGCTCTCTGTCCCCCCCATTCCTTGCCATTGTAATTCTCCTCCAAGATAGCTCCCCAATAACCCCTGCCTCCTGATATTCACATCCTTGTGAACTTGCCTCCCACCTTATACCATGGTTGGTCTCTATGACCAGTACAATGGTATACCGCTCCTGAGAGTGGATTATAATCTCATCTGTGCCTTGCTGCTTCCATCTCAGCATGTACTCTCTACATGACTTATTCTAGGAGAACATGTAAATTATCTAGGGGTCTCTGTAAAATGCACATTCTGATTGAGTGGCTCTGTGGCAGGGCCTGAGATACAGTATTTCCAATCAGCTCCTAGTTAATGCAGATGCTGCTAGTTCAGGGAGCAAACTACAATGCTGCAAGTATGCTAGGGAACAAGGTAAGAAAAAAAAGAAAGCTGGGAGAGGTAGATTTCTATTTTTTCCCTGCCATATTTAAACATGTAAAGATAAGAGTCAAGTCTTCGTAGTGGTTTGGTGCAACACCATCTCACTATATTCCATTCTACAGAACACTGCTTCTTAAACATGAATGTGCATACAAACCACCCAGGTATCCTATTAAACTGCAGCAGTAAGTCTAGAGCAGGAGATTCTGCATTTCCAGCAACCTCTAAGCAACACTGAAGCCTCTGGTCCAAGGACCACACTTTTTGAATAGTAAGGTATTAAAAGGCTCCTATACTTTTTTGTTTGTTTAAAATATTTAATTACAGATAAATGTAAGACTTATACATCAAATCTACAATAAAGTTAAAAGATGAATAATGAAGTTAGAAAAAAACATTTGCGGGGGGGTGGGCTAGGCTGGGAATAAAAGACAGAAAACTGTATTTGAACAACAATTAAAAGAAAAAAAAGAAGGAAAAAAAAAACATTTGCAACATCCATGGCAACATATACTCATATATCTTTTGCATTCATTTTCTATTGTTGCAAAAAATTACAATCCTATACTTTTCAACTCTCAGAAACATCAACCAGAAACATAAACTCCTGAAATGGTTCCCAAATGCCCATTACACATTCCAGCTTCACCTCCAACTACACCGCCACCCACCCTATGTGCATGCCTATACCCCAACCATACCTTACAACTGCATACACGGTACTAAAATGTTAACATCTCTAACCTTACTCTGAAAACACACTTTAAAAAAATGCATTCAACTGACAAATATTTATTAAGAACCTAACACACTGTTCGTAATACAGCAAGCCCAAATAGAAGTCATTAGTTTAATGGTCCTCTCCTGTCTCCCTTCAATTGATCTTCAATCTGGTTTGCCTATTTATAGGTCAAGCATTTATTTCATCACTCTACCACTGGATTCAAGTCTCACAGGCTGCTTAGTCCAGATTTAGACAGAGAAAATATAGACCCTTCTTCACAATTAAACCCTCACTACTACATGTTTTTTCTCACACGATTTTTTAAAGCTATAATGAAGACACCATAAAACCCACCCTTTGGAAGTACACATACAATTTAATTGTTTTTCGTATATTCAAAGTTGTGCGATCATCATCACCATCTAATTCCAGAATATTTTCACTATCCTCAAAACAAATCACATACACTTCATCTGTCACCCCAATATCCCCAGTCCCCCCAGCCCCTGGCAATCACTAATCTTTCTGTCTCCACAGATTTGCCTATATTGGACATTTCACATAAATTAAATCATACAATATGTGGTCTTTCTGACTGGTTTTGCTCATGTAGCATGGTTTTCAAGGTTCATCCATGTTGCAGAATGTATTGGATTGGCCAAAAAGTCCATTTAAATAAAAGATGCACTTTTCATTTTCACCAATAACTTTACTGATCTCGTTATTTGGAGTATGTTGGCCATCTCCCATGTTATGACGTTGATTGTTCTCAATTAATCTCGATCTGATTGCTATCAACTTCAACCAGTCTTTCTTGCTGGACTATGCAGCATCATCGTCCAGCAAGAAATCTCCAGCACGAAACTTCGCAAACCACTTTTGACACATTGTCAGTCACAGCATGTTCTCCACACACGCCACAAATCTTTGTGTTCCAGTTGTTTTTACCTTCCTTGAAATAATAAAGCATAATATGCCAGAAATGTTGCTATTTTCTTCTATCTTCAATATTAAAATGGCTACACAGAACATCACCAAATTTGATATTTTCTTTAAAAATGTAGGCTAATATGACAGCTGTCACAATACAATCTAACAAAATTGTTTCAAATGAAGTTAAAGACAACTAAGCACTACTAGAGCCATCTTATGGGAAAAAAATCAAACAAACCCTTTGGCCAACATATTTTGATACAGCCAATATGTATCAGTTCTGTCCTTTCTATAGCTAAATAATTCCATTGTATGATTATACCACATATTATCTATTCATCAGCTGATGAACATCTGGAATATTTTCCACTTTTTGGCTATCTGAACAATGCTGCTATGAATATGTGTGTACAAGTTTTATGTGGACATACGTTTTCAGTGTTCTCGGGTATATATCAAGAAGCAGACTTGCTGAGTAATACAATAACTCTACGATTAATGTTTTGAGTAACTGCCAAACTATTTTCCAAAGTACTGAACCATTCTGCATCCCCACCAGTAATGTATGGGAATTTCGCTATTAAATTTTCAAACAATAAGGATGTTATAATTCCTTAAGGAAAAGAGAGATGTGCCCCACACCCTATTATAATAACTATATGAAGAATACCGCATTAACAGAATGGCAGGAATATAAGATTTCTGGCAGGACTATAAGAAATACAATGTTATAAGTCCGAGTATATTGAGCAAATGAGTTAAGCTTTCAGAGCCAATGGTCCTTTAATCATAAAATAGGGACGCTGTATATGACATTTATGTTGCAATCGCCATGAAAATAAAACAAGCAATACAAAAGTGCTTTTCCAACACTGATAATTCGTGATTTGACCCTGAGCAAAGCATTAGGGGCAAAGGGCTAAAAGCTCAGATCCCTCCCACACTTCCTTCACGTTCCTTCCCCGTGCGGGAAGGGTTACTGAGTGAAGGCGGGGGCTGCTGCCACCTCCCTTCCCCGGGAGGCCGGCCTGACGAGCCACGCAGGATAAATTGTAAGAGCTTAAAAAGCAGAGCCGGGTCACTTCAGCCCAACGTCGTTCCCAGACGAGGGATGCTGCATCCTCTCTTTAGCTTAGCAAGTCAGCGCAAGATCTTTTTTTTTCCTTTTTTAATGGTAATAAACGTTTATTATTGTCGAAGCAGAAAACGAGAGGCAAAGAAACACAGGTATACACGCCCCCACCCATGATCCTAGTCTTTTACATCTACAATCCCTTCCAAAGGTAAACAAAATGAAGTCCGATCCACTGCAAGCTCTGGAGATATAGCAATCTCAATGGCCCTCATCCCCAAACAATCCTCTGCCGGATCCCCCCGGGACAGATGGCGCAAAGTTTACCTGGTGGCTTCCTGCAGCTCGACCCGGCTCCGTCCAGGTGCCTCCAGAAGGGTAGTAGCCATCACCTCCCCCGCCTTCTCCCGGCCAGGTGGTCTCGGCGGGGCCACCCCCGCGCATCCGCCAGGAAACGGGAGGCGGGGGAGGTTCAGGGCGAGGAGGGTATAAGGGTGGAGGTGGGTGCACGGGCACATCTCCACCCCCAGACCCGTAGTAGCGGCCGTAAGACGGACCGTCACTGGGGCCGTAGCCTGAGCGCCTTAAGGCCGACATCCGCTCCACTGCTCCGAAGCGCTTCCCGCCCCCCCCACGGCCTGCTCAATGCGCAGGCGCCAGCCAGCGAGAGGGAATGGACAACATTGAAGGGGGTCGCCCGACAACAGCCAATCCCAGGCCAATTCCCGCCCCTTCGGCTGCTGAGTTCGAGAGTTGGGGGGCTGATGTACGCGACTCTGGGGTCGAGGGAGCAGTAAAGTGAGGGGTACCACTGTGTTCCTTAGAAGGGAGAATACACTTTCCCACCACATACACAATCTAGAGTCCTCTTCCCCTTTCTTCAGAGACGGAGAAAGTGTGTCCCAGGACTGTACGACGGCCCCGCCTCTTCGTGAGGACGGAGCACGTGATACAGGAAGTGGGTGGGGATAATATGGAGGAGTTTCCGGCGTGCCCCGGCGGCTGAAAGCCGGGGCAGAAGTGCTGGTCTGGGTCCGCGTTCCAGTCCCCGTTCCGCCGAGGCGGTGGCTACGGTAGGAGGAAAGAGGTGTTGGACACGCCGGCCTTTCGCCGCTACACACTGCAGCCTTATCTCAGCTCAAAATGAACTACATGCCCGGTACCGCCAGCCTCATCGAGGATATCGACAGTGAGTTGCTCGTCTCCTTCGGGTGAGGTCTAGGGAGAGACCCTCCTCCCGGACGGCTTCTTGTTTTGAGGGAGCTCGTAAAACAAACACTACGTGGTTTTAGCACTTTGCTGGATGTTTGGCGTTGACATCCTTCACGGGAGGGAGGAGCCACGGGGACACACCGTTTGCCACCTCCCAGCCCTACTACTGCCGCTATCACTTCTGTCCTGCAGTGTCCACCAGTTCCCGGACTGGTCAGCCACAAGCTGTAGAATTCAGTCCTGCTTGCGAGGGACGCAGCTGCTGAGGCCCGTAAACACGGAATTTGCCCCTCGCCCAGTCTACTGTCTTCCTCTGCGATATTTCGGAGTTCCAGGTTGTTACAGGTGGATGGACGAGAATACTTAGAGAAAGGATTAATCAAGAAGTGAAAATATTAAGACGACAGCATTTGGACTTAATTGGCAGTAGACATAGGCTTTATGCTATGTAGCCATTTACAGTAGTATTTTACCGTGAGGGTCTTCACCACTTTCAGGTTATTGTAGTAGAGACCATTGCCAGACAAGGTATTGACTTTCTGGGAAGGCTGAGTCAACTCAGACTTCTTTTTTTCTTCTGCTAGACAATTTTCTTTTGTTTTTACTAAGAAGACCTTCCTTATTCCTAGTCATTGTCCTGAAGAGAAACTCAGCCCTGTACTAAAGAGGAGCCACTTACAATTGTCCCATCTTTCCTTTTGCTAAACTCTCATCTGTGAATCATTCCTCAAATAACATTGTTTTTGTAATCGTTTTAATCTTTTAATCGTGTGATGTCTCATTAACTTGCAATTGCTGCAAAATGGTTTATACACAAGTTACCAGTCTCTAAAGTTACTGTGTATACAAATTAAAGAGTGAGTGTATAATTATACTCTCTTTTTATCTTCTGAATCATTTTTTAAATCCAAATTAGGGATTTGACAAATGAAAGGAAACGTAGTGTAGTCTGGATCATGTAAACAACTGCTGTACAAACCCATCTGTAATGCAATGAAACAAGTTTTAGTTGTCTGAGAATGCCCTTTTGCTCTCACCTCTTTTGTCACGTAGCCGAATTATTGGAGGTCCTAACACATTCTGTCATTTTAAATAATTTTAAAATAATTTTTGTTCTCCAGCCTTCTAACCGTTTTTTGTAGATTCCAAGCCTCCTCCTTTCCCAAGAAGTTCAAAACCATTTCATATGTACCCTTTAATGCTGCCACTGCCCCCCACTTTCCTCCTCCCTCCCTTGTCTTTCTGGTATTTTCCATCCTCTCATTTGAGTAAGAAGTACTCCTTCCTTTCAGTTTGTGTCTTTTATTACTGTTTTTCCCCACTGCTTCTGGAACCTCCTTCCATTAATATCATTTTTCTCTCATACTGTCTTTCTCTCTCCCCCAGATCCATTTCTTCATGTATGTTCTTGTCTGTCCAGTTCAACTTTTTTTTTCAGTTGTAACCCTCTGCAAACGTCCATCGGTTTTTCATATCCTTACCCCCAAACATCTTAAGTCGTCTCTCTGACCACCTACAATAAACTACATCTGTTACTCCTGCAATTTGATTTTTGTTGTCAACACACTGCTTCCAGTCCATTATTAAAAGGCATCAGTCTAATTCACTCTTTGAAGTTTTCCCCTCCTCCCTGCAGCATTGTGATATTGCATGGTGATGCTGGATTCTTAATCTGTGCTCTTGATTTCTTCAACACTTGATTTTCCTACCTCTCCAACTCTTACTGTTCCTTAAAACAGACTGTCTCTTAGGTTCCATTATTTACCTGCTTCTCTCTTTAAGTCTAAAAGATCTCCTGGATTCCAATAATTATATCACCTCTTTGTGCCCTTGCCCAAAATTGCTTTCTCTAATTCTGACTTCTTTTGCATTCCACTCTTACATTTCCAACATCTTTTGACATTTCTGTGTAAGTATCCTGATAGCACTTCAGAATTGCAACCAGCTAATAACCATCCACCCTGAGCTTTTTTTACTTTCAACTTTTGGTAAATGGTCCTCCCTGGCACAATAACTCAAAGTTCCTACATGTTCTCTAACTCATTTCTTTAGCACCCTGCTCTCTCACACCTACCCACATATACAAACTCAATTAGTTGTCAATCCTGTTACTTACAATTGCACGGTCTTAGTCCTGTCTTCATCTCCCTTCTTATCTCTCCCTTGGTTCAGGTCTCCTTATGCTTCAGACTCTGGAAATAGCCTCAGCCACTCTCCCTTATTTGCAAGTTCAATCTTCAATGTTTTCTTGTTCCCTGTGAAGTCACATCCAAACTCAACCTGCTTCAGGTTATTTTCTGACTTCATTTCCTGTCATTTCCCTTCACACCCTCAACTTTTCACCAAACACAGCTCGTTTTTTCCTCCTGCCTAATTACAGATTTCCCTCCCCTTCCCTGTCACTCTTCCCATGGCCAGAAATTATCTGGCTTTCAAGGAACAACTCAGATACATCCTCCAGCTACAGTTTCTCTCAGTCTCATATAATTAAAATGTCCTTTCTTGTGGCAACTTAATTACAGCCCAACTACAAATTCCTTCAGGAAAGAAGCACTGTGTTGTTCCTCTCTTCTGCATCAATAAAGTGTTTTATTCATGGCATTAAAGAAAAGAATGAATGAACTTTACTAGCTATTCTAGTGACTGGCTTATTGTCATTCTTCAGAATCAGTTCAGTCACCTCTTCAGAGAGGTTTTCCCTGGCCACCCACTCTTCTGTAGCTACTTTCCCTCTTTATCATACTGTCTTACTTATTATTACATTGCACTAATCAAAATAGGTGGTTTTGTTTGCCTTCTTTCACCAGGAATATAAAGTCGTAAGGTCAGTGATTTTCTGAGTCTTATTCTGTATTGTATATCTAGGCCCCAGAGTAGCACGTAGCTCTCAATAAATATTATTGAATTTTTGCTCTAGCTTATTATCAGCATCTTCCTTTTACATGTCCGGGGCATTGTTCTTACTTAAAAACTTCCGTGAATCCAAAGTGTGAAACAGACGCTCTTCTTCTAAGGTCGGGGGTGGGAAACATTCCTAGAAGTAAATTTCTCAATTTGCAGCTACAGAAACTGGCATGACAGTGGTGGGGGCAGAGGAGTTTAGCATCAAACATTAGGGTCCAGAGCCAGTCAGGCTTCCTGGCTATTCATCCAGTCCGCCACACTACTGTGACTCTTTACACCACTAACCTTGTAAACCTTGTAATCCAGTGGTTTTCATCCTCTTTGATTTTATGGCAGACATAAACTATTCACTAAAATTCTGCGACATACCAAAATATCTATTTTTTGCCGATCTGACCAAAAACATAATTTTGATTCATTTACACCAGGAGGCTGTTGTATTGGCTGTTATCATTTTGTGTTTTGTTTTGTTTTATTGACAACCTGAGGGAAAAGAGGTGAGGGCCCCTGACTAAATAGTCAGGTATTGAAAATTCTTACGGCCCACTGGTTGAAAATTGCTGCTCTGATCTAAACCCCGGACTACCTTAGTCCTCCCTCTAATTTCCCAGTGTACTCCCCCTTAATACCTTGAAACAGTAAGTGGTAGAGCTTAAACTATCAACTTTATTTTTGTTGTTACCCCATAAACTCACTGAAGCTAACAGTTTTCTTCTTTTAAAGATTTTTTTTTCCTGTCCCCAGAAAAGCACTTGGTTCTGCTTCGAGATGGGAGGACACTTATAGGCTTTTTGAGAAGCATTGATCAATTTGGTATGTATTAGTTACAGACTTCTATTGTACTCTGGATAATAAGAGCTGCCCATTGTATTTTTGTTGTTTCATATTGTAATAAATTTATCTGCAACTTTTTCATGTGTCTGGCATACAGGAATACAGTTTTGAGTCATTGCATCATTGTGTCCTAAATTATGATTAGATGGTTCAAAAGCTTGTATTTTCAAGCTTGTATTTCTAAAACTGGCTTTCACTAGAACATATGATTATAGTGTTTTGGGCTTTTTTTTTCTTTTCCCCATTAGAGGGAGCCAAAAGACAGAAATAGACTCAGTCCACTGAAAAAGTTGCTCATTTGAACTTTGGCTTGGGGGTGACTACTCTTCAAAGCAGTTCCTGCACTGAAGGTAATCCCTCCCCGTCCAATGAAAACTGGGTAGAAGGCATTTTCTGAAGCTTGTGAGGGACCCCAGCATTAAGCTCAAGATATGACACTTAGGGATACATCAGACTCAAGAGTCTCAGTCTTTGTTTTACATCCCGCATTTTTCTAAAGAGATCATATTGGCTTCTGTTTCAAAAAACATCTTAGTTCCTATCAACATTTGTTTGACATCTGCTAGGTCAGTGGATTTGGGCATGAGGAAAAAAATAAGACAAATGGTACCAACTGAAAGAAGAAAATTATTCTTAACAGGTCAGGATTCTGAATCATAAGTCAAATTCATCAGACTACTTTGAGGGAAAAGTAATGCTGACTTTACTCTCAGATTACCAGTATGGTTATCTGACAAAGTGAAAAAATAGTTTTTTGCTGTATCATAAGTCATGGACACTTGTATTGGGTTAAATGAATGCTAAATTACTAAAAGTTAAATCTTTGGTTAATTACCACATACACATACCCACACAACAGAAAAACCATGTCCTTTTAAAAAAAACATTTTTCATCTCCATAGTTGTTTAAAGTCTTTCAAGTGCCCCACTTATTTCCATTTTCTTACAGTCATGTTGATATTAGCAATTAACTGATAAACTAATTTAATTTTCTTTTTCCCTCACCATCACTTGGTATTACTGCAACATAATCCCAAATACTCTCTCAGCTTGCAATTGGTTAAAAGTCTCAAATGGTGTGTTGTAATGAAATAGAAGACTGCTTGAAATTTTGATTTTTCCCTGAATTAGAAAATTTTGAAATCATGTTCAACTAAATCTTTTCAACTCAAACTAACTGAGTTATGGACCTTTACCCAAAATTTGAACTAAATATCTTTGTTTCTTCCCTATACACTTATAGCTAATTTAGTGCTACATCAGACTGTGGAGCGTATTCATGTGGGCAAAAAATACGGTGATATTCCTCGAGGGATTTTTGTGGTCAGAGGAGAAAATGTGGTCCTACTAGGAGAAATAGTAAGTGAAAACTGTTAAGCTGCTATGGGTATTGATAAACATACTAGTTAGGTTTCTTTTTGTCTTTTCAAGAGGGAAAAAATATGTTTTTCATATTTCACCAGCTTCTCACAGGAAACCACTACATTAGTTTAGGAAAGCCACAATTATAAAAGTAAAGTTACAGAGAATAGTTAACTTTGTTTCAGTGCCTCTTGGCATTTTGAAGATTTGATCCCATTAAAGCAAAACATCATTGATTTTACCTGATATCTTTAAAAAATACCATCCTGTCCAGGCAGTGTGGCTCAGTTGGTTGGAGCATTGTCCTGGAAAGGTTGTGGGTTTGATTCCCAGTCAGGGCACATACCTAGGTTGCAGGTTCGATCCCAAGTTCAAGCACATAAGGGGAGGAGGTGGGCAACTGGTTGATGCCTCTCTCTTGCACTGATGTTTCTCTCTAAGAAAGTAATGGAAAAAATGTCCCATGGGTGAGGATTTTAAAAAACGAATACCATCCTATAAATGTGTTCATTAATATATTGTTTCTGCTATTTCAAATAGAAAATGAAAAACTTTAATAATTCAATAAAGTAAGATTTATGTACATTGTATATTTTGCAGTCATTTAAACAGTTGGTCCCAAGTAGTTTTTCATGACAAAGTTAATTAGCTGTGTTTGGAGAGGAAGAAGCATTGCGTATACAATGTGATGTCTGTGTTTTTTAAGGGGTGAAGGGAAGTAATGGATGTAGGAGAAGCCTTTCTGTAAACCATGCTGATAAAGGAGCTCAGCTTCATTTGAATCCTTAGCTCACAACCAGTGAAGAGGAAGATTAGTTGACAGGTGAAGAGTTAAATCTTCTCTAAAGTGGTGTTTCTGTAGGGATGTATGTGTGTGCATGTACATACACATATGCAAATATACATACAAAACTATTAGAAAATTATTTTATATTCAGGATAGGGCAAAAGTATGTTTACAATTTGTATGGGAGATAACACTATAATTAATAATAAATAAAATTACAACAATAAACTTTTTGCATTACAACTATAAATATACTTTTGCCCAGCCTTGTATATAAAACTATTAGTACTCAACATTTATTTTAAAAATGTTTATTTGTTGATTGATTTTTAGAAGGAAAGGAAGGAAAAGAGAGAAATAATCGATTTGTTGTTCCACTTATCCATGCATTCATTGGTTGATTCCTGTATGTGCCCTGACCATGGATTGAACCTGCAACCCCGATATATTGGGGCAACAATCAACCAGCTGAGCTACCAGGCAGGGCTAAAAGTATTCAACATTTTAAAAAGATAAACCTCATTACCCTGGCTGGGTGGCTCAGTTGGTTGGAGCATCATCCCATAGACTAAAAGGTTGCAGGTTCCATCCCTAGTCATGGTGCGTACAGAAGGCAGCTGATCATGTTTCTCTCTGGTGCGTACAGAAGGCAGCTGATCATGTTTCTCTCTCTCTCTCTCTCTCTCTCTCTCTCTCTCAAAAAATCAATAAAGATATCCTCAGGTGAAGTTTTTTTTAAATTATATTAAAGATTAACCTCATTTCATGTTTTTCATGAAACATTACTGGAAAAGTACCTTATTTAATACCTTTTATTTGATCCTGCTGCTTCTGATTATTGGGTTTGCCAGGAAAATCAAAATAAAAAACTTTGACATTTGCTTGATTTTATATTTTTCTATTGTTTTTAAAGTTTTCACTAAAGTTTCCCAATACCTAGCCACTACTTAAATCAGGTTTACAGAAGTCTTTTGAGTGCAGTGATTTTGTCCATAGCTGTTTTTAACAATAAGCTATTTGAGAAAATAAGGAGATAATTCTACCAGGGTCAGGTTGGTTCAGAGACCTTATTTTGAAATAGCTAGAAATGACTAATGAGTACTGCCCAAATGCTGCTATAAAATACATGAAATACCTTTTCTAAAAAATATCTTCTGTGGTTGATATTTTTTGTTCGGTGTATCATTTCTTGCATGTTTGTGCAGCAGAAATGGTCATCTCCTTGTATTATGTAAAGGTTGAAATAAAGCACTACACTACCCAGAGATGTGAGGGAGGAGCAGGAAATGACTGTGGTCTGCCAGTGCATTAAAAGGGGCTGATCCCTCTCTGGACAGTAGGGTCATAGGTGATTATTTTTTCCTTTTTTACACTTTTCTGAGTTTAATTTTTAAAGAGGAAACATACTACTTTGCTGCCAGGGATAAAGATTTAAGTTAAAACATTCACACGTACTCTGCTTTAGTTTTATAGTATTGAACGTCACAGAAATGCTTCCTATGCCAGTTACTTGGGCACAAGTTGCCCCTGTGTTAGGTGCATGTGTATGTGAACATGAGGAGAGGAAGCGAACTTGGGTTTGTTCTTGGAGATTCGTTGTTTTCTGGTAGCCCTTTTATGGAGAAAAGCACTCTCTTTTTACATATTGCGGTTTGGACGCTGCAGAATTTTTACAATGGTACCATTAAAAAAAAATAACAGGAATGCTTACATAATCATAGGACTCTATAGTCAGTTTGAAGAGATTAACTGCTAACTCTAGGAAAAGACATACCCAGAAACCACCTAGATTCGGTAAACATTTCATTGCTTAAGAAGTCCCTGAAATCTGCCTCAAGGATGATGATGTATGAAGTCTTAAGTAACAAGACAGATTGCTGGGAAACAGCATCACCATAACCACACAAATAGCTCAATGAGTAACATATTGAAAAGTGCAAGAGGCAGTACTCTGAGAACATGATCTTCTCTTCAGCTTCTACTCAAGGGTTGTGAGGGTAGGTTACACTTGATAACGTATATTTTCCTGGGTGCAGTTAATATTTTACCCAGTGCAGGGTTTGCCTGTGTAATTTGTATGGCTTTCACATAACCTCTCTATCGAGACTCCTCCATCTGATACGTAATAGCCCGTGGGTTCTGAAGCCTTGGCAGCATCTGCAGGTTAGTACCCAGTGATAGGCTGGCACAGATAGTTTATAGGCTAGATAGTTTATATATGTGTAGTGCCTTCCCAGCATTTATTACTGAAAGTCAGAGAAGAGGATAAGAAATAAGAATGCCCTGACTGGGTATGGCTCAGTTGGTTGGGCGTCATTCCACAAAGCGCAAGGTGGCCGGTTTGATTCCTGGTCAGGGCACAAGCCTGGGTTGTGAGTTTGGTCTCGGACACATACAAGGGGCAACCGATCAGTGTTTCTCTCTCACATTGATGTTTCTCTCCCTCTCTCTTTCTCCTTCTCTCCCTGTATCTAAAGATAAATAAAATCTTTACAAAAATAAAAAAAGAATACCCTGTCTGTATAGACTGTCCAGTTACAAATACAGAATAGCTCTGGCTGGTGTGGCTCAGTGGACTGAGTACTGGCCTGTTAACCAAAAGGTCATTGGTTTGATTCCCTGTCAGGGCACACGCCTGGGTTGCAGGCCAGGTCCCCAGTGGAGGGGTGTGTGAGAGGCAGCCACACATTGATGCTTCTCTCCGTCTTTCTCCCTCCCTTCCCCTCTGTCGAAAAATAAATAAATGAATCTTTAAAAAAAAAAGAAAAGAAAAAAAGAAAAATAAATAAATGAAATCTTTAAAAACAAAACAAAACAAAACTGAAAGATACCTGTATGTTCATTTTAAAAAGAATGAATTGAACCTGTGGATAATAGTAAGATAGATTTATAGTAAGATTGTGCATTTCAAGATGGGTTATCAAACTTTTACAAGGTATTGACCCTAGTTGATGTGGCTCAGTTGGTTGGGCATCGTCCTGCAACCAAAAGGTCGCCAGTTCGATTCCTGGTCAGAGTACATACCTGGGTTGCAATTTTGCCCCCTGGGGCATGTACAGAAATGAACAACCAACCAATTGATGTTTCTCGCCCTCCCTCCCTCCCTTTCCCTCTCTTTAAAATCAAAAATAAAATATTTTTTTAATGTTTATAAGTTCTTCAAAAATAAAATTATTAAGCATATTATGCCATATTAAGTGAAAAAATAGTATTTGCATTGTGGGTTTTTTAAAAAGTCAGTATATATATGGGAAAGTTAGAAAGGATACTCAACAAAATATTATCCCTCTATAGTGGAATTAGGATTTTTAAAAAATGTTTGCTAGTCTGTTTTTTAAATGTCATACAATGAGCATGTGTCTTTTTTTTAAAATAATGGGAAAATTTATTTTTTTTAGTAAGCAAAACAATTCTTTAGTTAAAATCAGAGAACAATACTGAGGCCAAACTGGTTTAGTAATCTAACTGGTCTACTGAAGTTTTCTCTAGAAGACTTTGCTGCCATGAAGGGCAAAGGAGTCTTGTTATAATTTAAAGACTCCTAATTAATGCAACAGAGAGATAGTTTATTGCCTTTAAGGAAGAGGGTCCTTCTTTAAATCAATGTTCTCTACTTTCTTGCTGAACAACCCTCAGAAATTAAACTGACTCTGATAGTGCAAAGATACAAAGTTTATCTAAAGCCATCTTGGCCTTGGTAACTTCTTTCTGGGATTCTCTGGGGTTGGAGAAATAGCCTTTTTTTTTTTAAGAAAATTAGTTCTTCACTAATGTAGGATTTCAGACAACCTACAGCTTTGTTATGCACACTGTTCTGATCCCTATTACCACATTCTTATAAGTATTCTGTAGTAGTGTGGCCAGCCATTTCTTTGTAAAACTTATCTGTTCTTAGATGAAAGATATTTCAGCCATGTCACAATCATGAAAAATAACCCAAACCTGACATAGGAGTCCATTTGCCTTGAGATCTGTAAGGTTTTCCATTCTTGGTCATCAGTTGAAGTTTTCCCAAACTGCTTGTTTTGTAGGACTTGGAAAAGGAAAGTGACACTCCCCTTCAGCAAGTATCTATTGAAGAAATCCTGGAAGAACAAAGGGTGGAACAGCAGACCAAGCTAGAAGCCGAGAAGCTGAAAGTTCAGGCCCTGAAAGACCGAGGTCTCTCCATTCCTCGAGCAGATACTCTCGATGAGTATTAACTCTCGTTCAGAGGCCATTGCTCTTGGGGAGCAGGGGCTGCCACTGAATGCAAGTGACATTCTGGTCACCTCACACATTTGACTAGAGACTAGAATTTTGAAAAGCCATTTTTCTTTTGAGTCTTTCACATATGCAAAATGAAAAAATCATGTAACAGGGTTTTCCCCCCCTTTTTAATAACAAAATCATTGTTTAAAGAAACAGCTGGATGGACTTCTTCACTCATCACTGTGAAGCCAGCAACTACTCTCCCTATTGCTCTTCCCATCCCATAATTAGCGTTTACAGGGGACATTCTTCATTTGCTTGTAAATAAAGTATGAATCTCAAAGCTGTCATGTTATTTCCCAAGTTTGAGTTGCTGCCAGTGAATAGACAAAATTAAGTTCCAGTCTCAGAGCTATACACAGTTCTGTCACTTTATAACTTGCTAGTTACGAAGGAATATTTTCATACTAAGTACCTTGTGGGTCCTCCTCTCTCCCCGCTGTAAGAAAAACATTTTCAACCTTCAGGAAGGTCTTTCAGTGAAGTTTCACAGTTACTGGTTAAAACAAAAGCCTCGAGTTTGAGAAACAGCATCCACTTACTCAACTTGTTCTGGTTTCATGAACAGCTTTGCAACTAGGTTCCTGTGAGATCCAACATTTTAGTAAGGTGACTTTCTCCTAATCTGTCCATTTAGTTCATTTCTCTAGTCTTTAGGATTGAGTTGAGCCTTCTATGCTGTTATAAAAAACGCCAATAAAATGGTGTTTCAGTGACATACATCCAGGCTATTCAGGCTGACACCCACGGTGATGCCACTTTTCTGGTATGATGCTGACTGCATGGTGAGTGTAACAGACTATTGAAGAGTGCAGTGTAGTTACGGGACAATACTGAACTAGGGGTTTAGGAGACACAGGTTAAAATTTTTACTTTGTTTCTCTCCTCGCACCTAGTCAGTTCTCCTAGATATTTTTTTTTAAACTGAAGAATTATTCCAGGTGTTTCTCCTTTTCATAATCGGTTGAGCAAAGACTTCCTTTTCATAATAGTTATATGCAATTCCTGTCTGAATTATTTTATAGCATTACATATACTTAACATTTTATGACCTCAGGTGTTAGCTCCACATGCCTATAAACCATTTGACAGCTGAGCTACTCATTGAGTTCATTTTAAAATAGATAATTTGTGCCCTAGCTGGTGTAGCTCAGTGAACTGAGTGCTGGCCTATGAACCAAAGGGTCCCCAGTTTGATTGCCAGCCGGGGTACATGCCTGGGTTGCAAGACAGGTCCCCAGTAAGTGAGCAGGTGAGAGGCAACCACACACTGATGTTTCCCTCTCTCCTTCCCTTCCCCTGTCTCTATAAATAAATCTTTAAAATAGGTAATTTGTGAAAAAACAGTTGTACCTAATGATTTTTCACATGTGTCTTGCCTTTTATCTTACTATTTAATAACCAGAGCTTGTTTTTAACTGCTGACACAAAGCAGGGGAAAAAAAACACAACCAACTTTTGAAAAAAGTGTTTTTTGAAAAACACTTCTAACTACACGACAATCTCTGGGAGTCAGCAGGATTACAGTGTTAGTTTTTCTGAGCAGCAGTTTCAGAACATCTGACACCTTGAAGGAATTTGGACTGACTAGTTATCTTGTTTTTTCAACTGCTTAAAAACTCCAAATGCAATCATGAGTTACAGTTTATTCTTATGTTAAAGGAGAAGGGACTGAGTTTTGACAAGTCAAGAATTTCCCAACCATAGCAAGGCTTTGATCTTTTCAAACCTTGTTACACACACGGCAACTAAGAATTACAACTAACAAATGAAACTATAGACTATTAACTTACTTCCTACCGGTCTCCAGGATTGCTCAGCAAAATGGCTGGCCCTTAGCTCTGCCCAGCCCAGGATTTTTGCAGATAACTAAAATCATATTTTCACCTTGTCCATACTTTTGTTTTCCCTTTAATACTTTCTTCCAAGAGGGGTTCCCATGAGACTGCTTTTAAAGGAGACACACAAGGAAGATCTACCAAAGCCCCTTTCTTGGCCATCTTCATTCTGATACAGTTGAGTACCCAGCGTATCTCTTACTCGTCCAGCTGGTTTCTCTCCCTTTCCTTGGCCCTTGATCTTACATTGCATGCTCTTCTCTAAGTTTAAACCACGGTATCTGCTCCACGCCCCAACTCAGATAAAACACTCCCAACAGTCCCTGGATGCTTAATGATAGCCAGGTGCCTTTCTACTGTCCATCGTGGAAGGTTTCTCAAGGAAGCCGTGTTAGCGTGAACCCCAGAGGTATTACAAAGAGGTGAAGAAGGCTGGGAAATGGTCTTTTTCTCTTAAGAGTGTTGGCTGGCAGTCTCAGGCAGAGGGCAGTGCAGACAGCGGACAGCGTAGGCCAGCAGGCAGAGCAGACGCACCAGGCAGCACCAGGCAACCGCTGTGGGCAGTCCCAGCCTCCAGTCTCATGGCCCCACAGCACAGCTCAAGAAATGGGGTCCAGGAATTGAACCTGGCAAGCAAATACTAGAGGAGAGGCAGTTAGAGAACAGTCCCCTACCCCTTGATTCCCTCCCCCATATTACACATTCAAAGGAAGACCCAAAACCTGGAATTTATTTATAAAAAACTATTCTTACATGTTTAAACTTCAGTCTCCTTCAAAGTACTCTCTATTTGATGCAATACACCTATCAAGGCATTTTTTCCACTGCTCAAAACAGTTATTGCACTCATCGATTTTGATGCCTTTTAGTGCTTCTGCCATTTTTTGTTTCACCTCTTCCACACTGGCAAAACGTTTCCCTTTGAAGACTTTTTTCATCTGGGGAAACAAAACAAATTGCTCGGCAAAATTGGGTGAATAGGGAGGGTGGAGCACAGGGGTCATGCCGTTTTTGGTCAAAAACCGCTGAACATTCAGCACAATGTGGGCAGGTGCACTGTAAATCGTCCATCATGAAATGGGCAAACACACTGAGTATTAAAAAGATATGTATCTATTCCCTGAAGCCAAACACAGCCTCTCACAACCATGCCAGCTGGCACACTGATACAGATGGGTTGCTAGAACACTCATCTAGTAGGGGAATCCTGTACTACAAAGGGGCATGCCCTCCAGAAGATAATTCCAGGGTTTTTTATGTTCCCCCCTTGTATGTACTTATATGTGTATAGTGTGTGTTTGTGTGTGTGTGTGTGTATAGCATTTCTTACCTTTCAAAAGTCATACTACAAAATGAGCTCCATCCAACCACCTTTCCCATGAGGAGCTGTCATTCCCAGGGAGGTACGAAGAAGGCATTTCAGTTGTAGATGTTGCAGGCTGATGCTCTAATGCTGAACCAACCTTCCAGCTGGGAGCTGACAACTCTGCTCATAATCAAGGAAAGAGTAGCAGGAGAGACTCTAGTCTGAGCCATCACCTTGGAGTTCTTTGTGAGCTGAGCAGGAATGCAGTCAGTGATGCAGCTGATATGCACATGTGCTGTACCAATGCAAGGACTCATAACAACGACACTCAGCCTGGTAGGACCACATTAAATCTGGGAGAGGTGAAGTTTTTGCAAAAGAGACTAAACATGATTAACTTAGTTTAAACCTGGGGTTTCAACCTACTAGGTCCTAATATGAATTTAGTGGATTATAATGAGCATTTTTTAATGTTGGCTCTTTTTTGTTGTTTGTGCTATTATTTACTTATTTATTGTTATTCTGTTACAGTTGTCCCAATTTTCCCTCTTTGCCTCCCTCCATCCAGCCCATGCCCCACTCCCATAGTCAATCCCCACACCATTGTCCATGTCCATGGGTCATTCATACATGTTCTTTGACTAGTCCCTTCCTCTTCTTTCCACCATTATCCCTCTTCCCCCACCCCTTTGGCCTCTGTCAGTCTGCTCAATGTTTCCACGTCTGTGGTTCTAGTTTGCTCATTAGTTTATTTTGTTCATTTGATTCCTCTTATAAGTGAGATCATATGGTATTTGCCTTTCACTGACTGGCTTGTTACACTTAGCATAGTGCTCTCCAGGTCCATCCATGCTGTCACAAAAGGTAGAAGTTTCTCCTATCTTTCTGCTGTATAGCATTCCATTGTGTAAATGTACCACAGTTTTTTGATCCACTCATTAACTGATGGGCACTTAGGCTGTTTCCAGCACTTGGCTATTTATTATAAATAGTACTGCTATGAACATTGGGGTGCATAAGTTCTTTTGAAATGGTGTTTCAGGGTTCTTAGGGTATAATCCCAGTAATGATGTCACTGGGTCAAAGGAAGTCCCATTTTTTATTTTTTTATTTAAAATTTTTTTCTTATATTTAGAACAATTTAGATCCTGATACACATTACTGTTTTAACAGGCAGACTACGATGAATTAGTTCACAGACATTGTAAAGATTTTATTTATTTATTTTTAAAGCAAGGGGAAAGGAGGAAGAAAGAGAGGGAGAGAAGCATGGATGAGCAAGAGAAACATTGATCGGTTGCCTCTCTCACGCCCCAACTGAGGACCTGGCCCGCAACCCAGGCACGTGCCCTGACCGACTGGGAATCAAACTGACAAGCTTTCGGTCCGCAGGCCAGTGCTCAATCCACTGAGCCACACCAGCCAGGGCTATAACCAGCATTGTTTAAAATTGGAATAATTAGAAAATAGAGTACATTACATAATAAAAACAGGTTCTATGTGAAACTTGTTACATGAATATATATATGAATATTGTATACACGTATAAAAATGTATTTGTTACTGTGGGTAGCTGTTAGAAACATTTGAAAAATTGCCTTAGTTTGTAGTAAATCATTATGTGCTATTGCAGTTAGGAAGTAAAATATCTGTCCATTGCCCATCCTTCACCTCACACCCTGAAAATCAACTGTGCCCTGGCTGAGAAGTCTAGACTTCACCTTATGTGCTCTTGATGTGTTGTTGCCCGCCTGAAGCCATACAACCACCCTACAAGGATTACAAAAAGAAAAAGAAAACCTGTCCCTGTTTCACAGATAAGAAAGTTGAGACTGAAGAGGTGAGTGGGCCTGGGATCATAAAGCAGGGGAACCAGGACCAGAAGTCTCCGAATACAAAACCTGTGCTTTCTGCGCTTCGGTTCCCAGGATCCCCACTACCATTCCAACAAACCCAAAGATGGGTGGTGTTGCCCAGTGCTCACCTCCTCTGAGCCAGGACCCACACAAGCTCAAGGTCCCTGTCCTCAACCCCCAGCCTCTGCCTCCTAGGGAACTGCAGAGGAATCTTCCACCACACCCTACAAATATTCCATTTGGCTGAATAACCAAAGTTTCCCAGGACAGCCAGCTCTCAACCCTCAGACCCCTTCTCCATGCTGTTGGCCATTTTTTTTAACTGAACACTCACACCCCATCCTCCATCTCAAACCTGGCTAACTCCTTATTGCACTTCCCACACTCAGCCCTAATGTCACTGCCTCGCAGAAGCGTTCCACAACACTCCTCCCTCTCCCTGTGTAATTAGGTGTTCCATCCCCTTGTACTTCCCAAAACCCTCAGCTGTTCTACAACTTTCCATATGGGTCCTGTGGTTCATTTTTCTCATAACTGTAGACCCACACGGTGGCCACCCAGTAAAGACTGTTGAATGAATGAGTGGAGTCCTCTCCTTTGCTCACCTGCCTCCATCCGCTGGCCCCGGGGCCTTCCTCTCCAGCACTCTGCACAGCCTGAGCCAGAGCTCTGCTATCTTCCTCCCTGAGCAGTTGTGTCCATCTGATCTCCCTGGGAGGTTCCGCCATGACCAAAAGCAAAGCCAGGCCCTGGCCTGATAGCTCAGTTGTTAATGTCATCCTGATGTGCCAAGATTGTGGGTTCGATCCCCAATCATGGCACATGCAATAATCAACCAATTACTGTATTGATAAGTAGAACAACAAATCAATGCTTCTTTCTCTGTTCCCCCTCCCTGCTGTTTAAAATCAATAAAAAAATTTTTTTTAAAAAGCAAAGGCAGATACGATGTGTGAATCAGATACAGATGACATGCAAAACCAGAGGAAATTTGCAGACCGCTCTCCGCCCTTACTCAGAGGGACAGTAAGAGTTAACTAGTCATTCAGCCTGGAAAAGATGAAGAAGAGAAGGAAGCCTTGGCCCTGCGGGAGGTCACTAGCACCTCCTCCTCTGAGTCAATGGCAGCCTCTGACATCAGCAGCAGCTCAGCCCTCCAGGCTCCCCGCACGGCCCCCTCCCCTCTCACAATGGCCATAATTCTCCACAGGATAGCAACAGCGGGGCCTTGAACGTTATTATCTGCAGGGCCTATCCCATAATAACCCCCTCCCCACCCCTCCCCACCTCCGCTGGAACACACATGTGCATGAGGGTGCACGTGTACCAAGAAGGGAGGAGCAGCCGTCCCAGCACACCATCTGTACCTTCTTTCCAAGTCTATAAACAGCAAAACCCCCATCCTCACCCGCTTCCGCACAATGAACAACAGAGACCAAGTCCTTTTCTCCCTTCGATCCTATTTTCTATTCGGGGCTCTTTGGGGGCTGGAAACAAAGCCAAGAGGCAGGTTTCCTAATTCAAAAGACATACTTGGCCCCCTGCCCCAGCTGCTTCCCCATCTGGTCACCCGACAGAGAAGGAGCAAGAGCCTGCTCTGGGCCCTGCCTGAAGCTGAGTGCTGGGGGGTGGGGATGGATGTGGACAAGGAGCCTCAGGGACAAATAATCCCACAGAAGAGACAAGCAAACACACACAAACCATTGCACAAATCAGGACTGGAGATATGCCCTTCTAGAGGTACTGGCAACAAGGGCGTAAGCCAAAGGGATAAGCTGTTCCAGAAGGTTGTGAGGAGGGGGGGCTGCAGGGGGCCTTGAGCACTGGGCCAGCCCCTGGTGAGAGATGGGAGGAGGACAGACAGGGCCTCTCTGAGTTGCTGGACCCTTCCCACTGCTTCACCAGGGATTGAAATGAAGGTGTGGGACTCGCCCTGTTGTGTGTGGGCTCCCGGCACCAGGCCTGGCTCTGAGCAGGCCGTGTCCCTTTCATCCTTTCTGTAGTGAGGGAGACAGGGGTACCTCACTTTCTAGGCCTCCCCTCTGCCTCCAGGCAGTGGTGACAGGGCACAGAAGTCTCACACAGCAGGCAGGCTCTGAGCCAGGGGCAAATCAGTGTGCTTCTCTGACCTTCCAAAATTCTTACCAGATGAGTCTGGCTTAAAAACAACTGCAAGGGCAACCTTAAAGGGAAAAGATTTCACCAGAGACCAGCATGCAGGCTGGGAGGGATCTTCCTCACTGGGCCTCTGGGATGAGGTGTGGGAAGAGCAGGGAAGACTCAGCTGCCTTATGAGTCTGTGTAGAGCACAGGCCCCCAAAGTGCAAAGACCAGGGTGAGCACTCCTGGACCACGCCCAGCCCTGTGGCACAGCCTGCCCTACCTGGGCACTCAGAAAACGTCTGAGTGAGGGTGAAGGGTGCAGCTGGGCTCGGGTCCCCTGCCCTTTGCGCCTCTGGCCAGTTCTCCCCTCTGCTTTGGGGCCTTACAGGGCTCGGCCCTGAGGCGTCATAATTGTGCCAGCACAAACCCCTAAGCAGGGGAAACAAACTCTGAGCAAGGTTTTGGTAAAGTTGTTCATATAAATGGCCAAGTAAGTAATTCAACAGTTGAACTCACGAAGCACCTGGGGGCTGCCAAAGGAACAGTGTGTGGGCTGAAGGCCAGAAGGTCTGTGTGGTTTTCCCAGCCCTCCCACTGACTAGATGTTTGACCTTGAACAGGTCATTTCCACTCTCTGGACTTTGGGCTCTTCATACAGGGGCTGGATGGCCTCCACCAGCTCTGACCCACTAAGTTTTAGCAGACACCCTGGGCACTCTCCTAGGCAGCATTGCCCAAAGCCTAGTGTGCAGTTCACAGAACACCTGCATGGCAATCACCTGGGAATTTTACACACACACACTCACACAGCTTTCAAAGCCTCATTTCTAGACCTATTAAATCTGGAGTTTCTGATGACGAGGGCTAGAAACCCGTTCCAAGGAGCAGCCCATGTGCTATTTGAGAACCATTCTTGGATGGTGTATACTTTCTTCTAAACCGCCTTCACCTCAGCTGCTTCTTTTTCTCTCCCCTCCACCCACTGAGTCTGGCAGCAACCTCCCTACTCCTTTCTGTGCACTGTCCTACCCCCTCCACTCCCCACAAGTGGCCAAAGCAGCAGTGTGAGGCAATCCCTCTATCCTTGACCCTTTCCTTTGCACAGTGACTAATGGTTTTCTTATCTCTTGGTGATGAAGCACAGCCTTCAGCTGGGAGCATTTAAGATGCACAACACAGGCCCCCAGCCACAGCTGCAGGACCCTGAGACAGGCCTTGACAGACTCAGGAAGGACGGAAGCCACCTTGGAGAGCAGGAGCAGAGGCAGCGGCAGCAGCAGCAACAGCAGCACTACCACCAGCACCAGCCCCCAGGAAAGAATGCTCCTAGCAACATTTAAGCTGTGTGCTGGGAGCTCCTACCGACACGTGCGCAACATGAAGGGTGAGTTCCCTTGGGGAGAGGGTGTTCATGATGGTGACCAGAATCTCTCAGGCATGTGGTTCGGTGGCAAAAGTACTGGACTGGGGGCAAGCCACTCGGCTCTGATCCCAGCCATGCCTTCTGCTGGGCAAGTCTGCAAAGCTCTTGTCCCTCGTGGACCTCAACTTTCCTGCTGGAGCCTCTGGGCTGAATATGAAGATGCCTGTGTCCCTTCCAGATTCTGTGATTTCTGGTCTCCCTTCCAGGGCTACAATCTTCCTCGAACTCTTCCTGGCTTGGTCTTCCTCTGGGATTGGTCCCAAGGGTACCAGGGAAGTCCTAGCTACAGTGGGAGAGGTAGAAGCAAGCCTTGACTGCAATGAGCAGTACTAGCAAGCCTGAGACATGCTCAGAGAAGGAGGTGGGGGGAGGAGAGAAGGAAAGGGGAGTAAGACAGCAGGGTAGCGAGGACCCTAGCTGCTGGCTAGGGGGCAGGTGTCTTTAATTCTCCTGCTGTAGCAGGTTTTTTCTGGTTCGAACAAAGCTTCTTTCCCTTTAAAGGCCATGCTGGTTCAGCTGCTGTCCCTAGGCAGGGCCAGGCCTGGCCAGCCCAGATGGAAGGCAGGTTTCTGGGCCCAGGGGCAGCCTGGTGCAGCATAAAGAGCACTGGGAGTTGACCTGGTTCTAGTTCAGGTCTCTGCTAGGAATTCTGTATGTTCCTAATCAAGTCACTTCCTTCTCCAAGCCAGTTTCCCATCTGTGACAATATGAAGGGGTGGAGGGGACTTTCCCACCCTTGGACAACGGTTTCCTTCTCTTCCTGCAGGGCTGCGGCAACAAGCTATGCGGGCCATTGGCCAGGAGCTGAACCGGAGGGCACTGGGAGGCCCGACCCCGAGTGCGTGGATTAACCAGGTCCGGCGTCGGAGCTCTCTGCTTGGTGAGTGCTGAGGCTTCTGGGCTCCAGTCAGTGGCAGCAGGCTCCCAGGGTGCAGACACTGTACCTGTGGCTCTGGTCCCCTTGACCCCATGACAACCTTTTTTACTCTCTTGGAGAGAATGGGAATGGAGCTCCTCACAGCCAGACCCTCTCCCTATCACCTGCAGCTGCTGTGTCTAACTTGACCTGCAGGCTGAATCCTATGGCTTTGGTCTTGACTCTTGAAAGAGCAGATCCAGAAATCAAGGGGACATAAGCTGGTGGGAAGCTAGGGGACGGGTAGGAAGCTTGGTTTCTCATTGGCTGTGTATCCAGGTTCTCGACTGGAAGATACTCTCTATAGCGACCAGGAGCTGGCCTATATCCACCAGGGAGAGGAGGCTATGCAAAAGGCCCTGGGCATCCTCAGCAGCCAGGAGGGCTGGAAGCAGGAGGACCAGAAGGTGAGGGAGAGTGCGGAGGAATGCGGGGTTCCTCACCGTCCCACTGCCGTCCTCAAGGCCAGCTGGGGCGGGGTTGGTGGGGTTCCTGCTCTTCTCACAATTCCTGCCTTGTGCAGTAGTCGCTGGGCAACAGGTAGTTTTGAGAATTCTCCTTTCCCAAGAATATATCCTCAGATACCCCCTTCCCCTACCAAAGACACCCTGGAGACTCACGTTTGAGAAGCATTGTATCTTTACCTCCCCTCTAAATACATTGCACACCCATGCAGCAGAGACCATGCAATGGGGTTCTGCACGCAGGAGAGGCCTCAGTACCCCGGGCTGGCAGTGCCAGTGCCAAGGCAGTGTCTGTGCTGTTCAGCCTGCTTTATGGCCGAGCTCGCAGGGGTGACCTGGGCTTGCCCGAAACAGGGCTGCACCAAAACACAGTGGCCCAAAGCCTTCCGGCTCTCTGCTCCTGAGCACCACACCTTCCCTGGGAGCCAGTCACAAGGCACATGTTCAAGGCCAGTGGCTCTACTGAGACTGATTTTATCTTCACCAAAAGTTTACATGCTGCCCATTACCTGAAGTTCCAGTAAAACCTCTCCTTCTCCAAGCTAACAGACTACTACCCTGCGAGTCAAGAAACCTGAGATTGAAGCCCAGCACTGCTCTTAGCTGAGGCTCCCTGGGCGAATCACAGCCCTTCTCTGGCCCTACATCTTTCTTGGGTGAAATGAGGTACTGGGGACTGAGAAAGTCTTTAAGGTCCCATCCAACATCCTATGTGCATAATGAGTTGGTTGTAGACCAGACTTCTCACACTCTGAGTCTGTCTCCCCCCGGACTTCAAATTTCTGAAGTCAAGTAAAGTCCTTTGCAGCTGGGCCTGCCCACGCCCATGAATATTTGCCACCAAGACAAATGGGCCCAGGGAGCAGACAGGTCCCTTCTGGTCTCCAGCACATGTGCAAGGCTCATGGCAGGAAAGATCACCTACTCTTCTTAATCAGAAATATTATAGTTCCAGATGTCTCGATACTTAGTTCCCGTCCCTGTCCCCGTCCTGTCTTGCCTGATACTGTCTGTCTCGGGTCAGGAATATTTTTCTCTAATTTTATCCTGGGGCTCCTCTCTCTGCCTAACAGGCCAATGGGGACAAAGTGCTGAGTAAAGTGGTCCCAGATGTGGGCAAGGTATTCCGGCTGGAGGTGGTGGTGGACCAGCCCATGGACAGGCTTTATGAAGAGCTTGTGGAACGCATGGAGGCAATGGGGGAGTGGAACCCAAATGTCAAGGAGATCAAGGTGAGGCGGAGCCCGGGGGTGAGTGGCAGGAGCCCGTGGGAGCCCGGGCTGAAAGGTGGCCAAAGCTGTAGGTGGTAGTGCCTTATCCCCAACACTGGCTAAGTTGATTCCGGTTCCCCGTGGCTTGGCAGGTCCTGCAGAAGATTGGGAAAGACACAGTGATCACTCATGAGTTGGCTGCGGAGTCAGCAGGAAACCTCGTGGGGCCCCGTGACTTCGTGAGTGTGCGCTGTGCCAAGCGCCGAGGCTCCACCTGTGTGCTGGCTGGCATGGCCACACATTTCGGGGAGATGCCCGAGCAGAAAGGTGTCATCAGGTAATACTGGCAGCAGGCTCAAAAGCTCCGTTTCTGAACACAGGCCTGGGGGCCATGCATGTGATGAATGCTGGCTCCAAGAAAGCAATCCTTGGTCCCTACTCCCAGCTTCCTGTTACAAAGGAAGATTCTCGTGTTCCATAGCAGGGGACAAAGACAAGATTAGCCTTACTTATACAGCCAGTTTGTCCTGACCCTCTCTGAAAGTTCAAGGGCCTTAACAGTTCACTAAAGCAAGAGGTAGGGCTGAGGTGTAGCTGGTATGGTCAGGTAAGGCTGTACCAGTGATTAAAACATAAGTCACACCTCTTAGAACACAGTTGCTGAGCTCCTCAGGGGCCCCGGCCACCACCCTAGACCCCTTCCCCAATTTCTCTGTTACCCAGCAACTAAAAGGCACCACAGGAAGCCTCCAGGTCCCAGGTCCAGTTCTAATTGGCCTTTGTTCTGATAAGCTGGCAACCATGCCACTTGTTCAATATCACCCTTGGCAAAGGATGCTTCTCTGATGCCTGGGAAGACAAGGCACTCGAGAAATGTGGTTAGATAACTAGCCCGCATGTGAGAACTCGGAATTATCTTCCTGACTTGATTTCTCTTCAATTGCCAGAGCTGAACATGGTCCCACCTGCATGGTGCTCCATCCCCTGTCTGGGAGTCCCTCAAAGACCAAACTCACTTGGCTGCTCAGCATTGACCTTAAGGTGAGGAGCACGGGAGGCGGCACATTGGGCAGCTGGTGAGAGGACAATAGGTTCCTGCCCCTCCCACTCCATCCCACACAGTATAGGAAAAATCCTTCCATTCTGAGAGAATCAGACAGCTGAGGAGGGAAGAGATTTGAGTAATGGCTTGATATTCCACCATCTCAACAGCCTGCAATGGGTCCCTCTTACCTCCCCACGTAAAATTTCAACTTTGTAGTTACTTTAGAAAAAAGGAAACTTGCACCCAGAAAGGTGTGCTAACTAGCTCAGGGTCACACAGCTGGAGAAACAGGCCTGAAATTTGTCCTGAGGGCAAATCCGGTGCTTCTGGCACTTTCACAATGGCGGAACCACAAAGGAGTCCTCCAGCCCTGGACCCTGGCCGACTACAAGGCCACACCTATCCACAGAACTTGAAGACCAGGACCATACCAACCAGTAACGTTTGTGATAGGGTCCAGAGGTGCCTGGAGTGGAATACCACCCACAAGATGGCCAAATCCTTCTGTCTTCTACTCTAGGGATGGCTGCCAAAGACTATCATCAACCAAGTCCTATCACAGACCCAGATGGACTTTGCCAACCACCTGCGCAAGCACCTGGAGTCCAGTCCTCCTCCTGAAGCCCGGTGTTGAAGACCAGCCTGCTGCTTCCAGCTGTTCTAGTTGCACTGGCTTGCATGCTCATCAGGAAAATCCCTCCCAGAAGCCTACAAGTCTGCTTGAGATCTTCACTGGGGAACAGTGGGTTGGGGTGGCAATGCATTTACATTATGATAGTAGGACTCAGACTGGTAAAATTTTAGCACCAAGAAGACAGGGATGGGGCTCTTATACAAAGGTGAGCCTTCTAACTTCATTCACCACTTAGCTGTGAAATGAAGGTTAAGATTCCCAAATATCTGTAAAACTTTTCTCTGGGCCCTTACATGTCTACCTAAAAAACATCTCAAAATGCTACGAGCTGAGAGAAGGTGCAGCGAGGGTGCTAAATATGAGGATTGGGACCTCATGCTTTATGGGCTGAGAGCTCCACTCCCTGCAGGCAGTGGGTGTGGACACAGCAGGGTCTTACAGCAGGGGCTCCAGCAACTCTCTGCCCCTCCACCGAGTACGCAGAGAGCTGCACCCAAGTGCAGGCCACTCCCCCAGCAGGTGCCTTCCAGAGACCTAGGTCAAGTTTTCCTGATGAACGAATACAGAACTGTTAGGGCGGTCCCCCTACTTCTTCCATGAGCACCAGTCAGAATAAAGAATCGTGACGAATACAAAAATTTCAGTCTGTACCTGTTTTAAAGTTCTACTCTGAAGAAATCTCTTTCATTAAACTGCAACTTCATACTAAAGCTTTGAGTCCTAGACAAAAATCTTAATTAAATTTAAATTCCCCCAGCTCATTAAAAGGAAAAACTACTGGGGACTTATGTCATTCAGTTATTTAGAATTTGTTATCAGAAACTTCCCCCAAAACTTAATTTCCATGGTAGGCACAAGCCTAAACTTTAAGAATTCTATAACTGGTAGCTGAGTAATGGATATTGTACGATGAAGATTATGACTGAGGATGTTTATTTACTTCTAAGAAAGGATAGTGCGACTTGGGGTGGTGAACACACAATATCATACAGATTTTATAAAATTGTATACCTGAAACCTATAAAATTTTATTAACCAATGCCCCCTTAATAAATTCAATAACAAGGATAGTGCCAAATATCAATGAATGAACAATATTACTAAGATAAAGTTAAAAACAAATTTTATTTTCCCATTAGTGACTGTTTAGATCTAAGAAGGCAACTGAGCCTTTACTTCAAGTCTATTGTATCCGCCCTCAGTCTGGCTGAGGACTGCCAGTTTCTCTGCTTTAGTAGATCAATATTCCATTATTTTGAGGGATGGCTGGAATAAGGGGTAGTTTGGTGACAGCAAATTCCCTTTCCAAGATTTAGAGTTTATGCTTTAAAAATATAAACTGGGATGGGATTCATTTGCTAAAATGTACACCACTTGAAGCTTTTCCATTCTAGTGCTAATAGATTGTTGATGCATACCATTTAGAAATAGAGCTCTATTTTATTTATTTAACAAATTAGCAGTAGCAAAAATTCTGGTATTTATTGAGGTATTGAAATTTTACAGGTAGAGATATTTATTGTTATTTATTCTGATTGTTTCTTAGAGTAATCTATTTGTGGCATAGATGAAATTATGGCTTATCTGTCCAGGAGCTTCAGAGTGTGAGGGTATAATTGAAGAAGTATTTCTAGAACAGAATTATCATCTACTCCCCGCTAGGAGAAAATGATTATGTGTTTAAAGATGTGTAGAGCAATATCCACTCTAGTTGCAAAAGAAAACAGGATGATAATAAAGAAATGGGCTTTCAACACACAACACAGTTTTGAGTTTGATTATAATTTGCATTCTTGAAACTACACAACCATATCTTTGAGATGACTGTGGAGGTATTCTCCCACTTTTTAAACTTTATATTGGAATAAAATAAGTTGTGATGATCTGCTTACAAAAACAATTTTATTTGTTTGTTTGTTTATTTACCACATCTGAGGACATTTTTTCATTGCTTTTAGAGAGAGAGGGAGGGAGAGAAACATCAATCGGTTGCCTCTCGTAGGTTCCCGAACTAGGGATTGAACCTGCAACCCAGGTATGTGCCCGTACCTGGAATTATACCAACAACTTTTTGGTCACTCCAACCAAGTAAGGCACACTGGCCAGTGCCAGAAACCATTTTATACAGGACTATATAGAGAGTGGGTATTCTTTGAGCCCTTCAAATGAACCTTATCCACACACACACACACACACACACACACACATTGTGAATATGAAGTATAACAGACAAAATCATTACTTCTGTTATCTGATTTATGAAAGCCAAATGTACAAGAAACTAATTTCATCATTTAAAAAAAAAGTTGTATATGTGGTAATTATGTTTATATTTTATAATTTATATAATTACATACTGTGGGGGAGCTTTGCCCACAGAATCCCCCATCCACCATGGATGACAGTAAGTCTACCAAGACATGATCTGCTTGGGGAGGAAAGGTGGCTGATCTCTCAAAGGAGGACCAGGAGCCTGTTCCTCAACGAGCTTTTATTGGGTTCAATTTGCACAGAAATACAGGTAAAGCTCATCAATCACTGTCAGGCAGTAAGGATAAAACGATAACATTCTGTTACAGGGTGCAGCCAAGAGGGGGGACCCCAAATGGACATTTGAAATGGGGTCCAGAACTTAAGGTGTCCAGGAGATTTTAAGATGTCTCCATCCCCCCACCCAGGGTGTGGGTTGGGGGAAGGGACAAATGGAGCAAGGCCATTGAGATCTGTTTTGCATAGCAACAGCCTTGCAGCTACCCTCTGGCGTGGTCATTTCACATATCTATAGCCTTTGGCTGGTCGCTTAGATATGTTAAATAACTGTGATCATCTCTGAGCCAGGGGAATGGAAGTAACTTCCCCACCAAGACGTGACTGGGGGCAGATCCCCGGAGCTACAGCGCCTGCGTGGGAGCTCGGAGAAGACTGGCTCCAGCACATGGGGCCACACCTGCCCAGACTCATGATGGCAGCCCAGTAAAGCTGGAAGGATATGAATTCTGGCAAGTGAAGCCGAGTGTGGGAGGAGTCGGAAATGAGGCTGCAGAGGAAGATTGGCCGCGGGGATTTAAAAACCGAGACTTGGCGGCCATTAAGAGAGAACCACGCGGCTTTGGCAGAGTGAGGACTCTCCCTTCCCACAGCCATAGGAGAGAGAACCACGCGGCTTTGCCGGAGTGGAGACTCCTGCATCCCAGAGAGAACCGTGCTGCTTTAGGAGAGAGAACCACGCGGCTTTGGCAGAGTGGGGACTCTCCCCTTCCTGTAGCCCTGAGAGGGAGAACCACGCGGCCTGGACAGAGTGGGGACCTCCACAGCTTTAGAAGGGGAACCACCACCTGGTTTTAGCAGAGATCCCGGCGACTCAGCCGAGGGTGCCGGGAACCCAGGGAGGTCTCCCAGTCGAGATGGAGGACTAACTAAGAACCAGAGGGCTGTCTGAGCCATGGACTTCTATTTCCTTTCCTGAAATACGGTACTCTGGACTGGGCAAAGGAGGAAGGAAGGAAGGACTGTGTCTGTTTGTGGGTGTTTTGGGGGACTTCGGGATTTTTGATAAAGACATTAGGTCACTACTTTAAGTTTGTATAGCATTAAATAAACATTTCCTTTCCTTTTCACGAATCTCTGGCATTGAGAGATGTCTTTCCTAGGGCAGCGGACATAACGGACTCGGGACCTTCTTTCAATAATAGTATATTGTCTCAGGCCCCCCTTGTTCTGTTCTGTAACAATTCAAAGAACTAAGAGGGCTTACTCTGAGTCAGTAAGGTAAAGGACTATAAAAGTTTGGGAAACAAACTCATTTCCTGCTTGGACCCTTACCAAAAAACTGAGGACATTCTTAGCAGAACAGGTTTCACAAGGTTTTATGCATTCTTTCTTAGGCCTGAGTGCCCTGGGGAACAGCGCAATCCTGCCCAGGGCTGCACTGCCCTCCAGCATTGTTTCAGGCTTAAGTCAGGTGGGGGAAGTAAGGCAGCCAAGAGATAAGGAGACTTCTTGCAGACAGAATGAGCACTCAGGCTACGTCAAAGTGGAGGGGTGAGGGTCCATCGCCCCCTTTTTTCTATAGCCCCTGAGTCCTTCCCTGAAGGCCCCTTCGCAACCATGCCTGCCTTAGGTTGTCCCTCCCTTGAGGAATTTTACCTGCCGTTGGCTAACCAGTCATCTGCCCAGGGCCAAGCAGGGTGAAGTAAAAGGGGGTAGAGGCAGCGCCCCTGCCCGGGAGATAATCTTTGTCTCCTTAGTGGCTTATGGTCCCAAGGTCCTTCACTCAGCCTTACCCATGGAGGGTTACACCTTCTGAAACCAGGCAGGGCGGTTCCCAATATATGTGGTGATTTATATTATAAAGAAGTTACCTCCAGCTTCCTTTAAATAACACCACCTTCATCTTCTTAAACGTTCTTTAAACTCTGATGATCCAAAAGCTTTGTAACCATGTCTGCCCTTTCCAGCCACGAATGAATAGGTGTCCAGCGGCAACAGGCTAAGACTCCAACCTAAGATGATGCTGATTCAGTGTTAGGTTTACAGTTGAGACGTGTAATGGCTAAAACTAATATATTTGTCCCCCAAGGAGACAGATATATTAATCAAAGTTACTGTGTGGTCACTTGAAATTTTGGAAATTTCTTAAACAGGCATAATATATGGTTATTCTTGGCAACATATTACCTACCTCATGGTGAACTACTCTACCTATTAAAATACAGGTAGAAATTTGTATGTGGGGAGTTTTGGGGCCCATCCTGGGATGGCTGCATTGCCACTGAGGTGTGAAAAAGGGAGGCAGAGAAGCCACAAAGGGACCCCAAGGAAAGGCTCACTCTTCTGGACCAGTTTTAATCATCAGCCACACAAAAGACTATAAGCAAAGCAGGAAAACCACCTGTACATAGCAAGTAATACACACGATCAAGGAGAAACACCGGAGGGAGACCACTAACCCTTTACTCTTCTTCACCTCTTGAGAGCCTGACTTTCCCAGAATAAAGGGGGTGGCTGGGGTGGCTGGACAGAAGGGAAGCAACAGGAGAGGGGTGAGATACAAGTCAGAGGCCTCTCCCACCGCCCCCGCCCGCCGTGCAGAACACCCTTCCACGGACAGCCCACCCGTCTGACACTGTCCCCAAGAGGATCCCAAGTTCAAAGGGAAGCAAAGTACCACACAAGCTTGATCACAAGTTTTATTTGGGAAGAGTTTCTAATTGTTAAAGCTGCAAGCGAGTTCCTTTCACAATACAGTTCTAGAGATGTGGTAGTTTCAGAGACCCCAGTGTTCAAAAGTATATTTAAAAACTAATAACAAAAACGAACCCACGCCCAAAGGAAAAGCTCTTAAGATTGGCTCTGGAATGTATAACCATTGACTTTAGCCATTCTCAGAAACAGGCCTACCCCTTCCTTGGAAACCAGGGGGGGATGCAGTCAATGCCCACAAGGGAAAAAAAGTCTTAAATAAGTTAGCCACTTGGGCAATACTATCCACTCCTTAGAAAACACAGTAAGATAACAAGCCCCAGTGGCGGGGTCCATGGCACAGCACCGGTTTCGCGGGGAGCTCGCGGGGTCAGCAGGCGTTGGCACA